AGGAATATTGTTTTTTGATAAAACTGAAATGTTTCATATACATTCTGACTATTTTATTTAGGCTATTTTATGCTTTTATTTTATCTTATATGTCAATCTGTTGTATTTTATTATAATTTTATAATAGCTCTGTGATAAAATAGGCAATACATACCATAACATAAGAATACAGGAACAGAAGAGACCCTCCTGAGTCCAGTCTCCTGCATTCACACGGTCAAGCATTTAGCCATAAACTCCAGTCCAGTACCTCACACACGCACCATAGCCATCACGTACATTGTGAAAACAAAATAAAAATCACCTACAATGTGCCACATGTCAAAGACCAAGGAGCACCAAGACACCAGTAATATCATGTCATTACAATGGTAGAACAGTTATAAGGTTACTATATACTCATATGATCCCTGAGGATCAGAGAACTGCATCTATAACAATAAATGGAGACAAAAGCCCCCACCAGTCTTTGGTAATCTGACTTAGGGGGAGGAGGGGAATCCTTATTGACCCCAAATTCAGTGATAGTTATGATCTTAAAAACAAGACTAAAACTATCTAAGCTAGGTAGCTGAGAGTTTCCTAAGCATCTGCACACACTAAGCAAAACTTCCAGCTCTACCTGTAGCACCATGCCTAACACTTCACAAGAAGATGGGAAAAACAAAAGTAATCAATAAAGCATTCATGCTGTGGAAAAATCCTTCTGGGCCCCTAGGACACTGGAAAGAAGGCCTGAGCATGGGGATATCAGGCATATTCAGCCTAAGACAGTGCCTTTCAAACCTACTATGGGAACAGTAATACTTGAGTCACATATACCATATGAGCCGATTACTGATCCAAAGACATGTCCTTTCATGCTTCCCTCTACTCTGTTTTGAAGCAACTCAGATTCTTTTCCCAGCTCCCTTGTTTGGAAGTTCACCCCAAAACTTTACTCCAGTTGTTAAAACCTTCTTCTAATTTTCAGTTTAAATTTGTTCATAGCAACTGTGAAGTCCTTCCAGCTCACAGGCGAAGTCAGGTCTGGGCAGTACATTTTGGGGGAGAAGGTGAACAGCCCTCAGTGGTGAAAGTACAGGTTAGGGACTGTTTGGAAAAGCTGGACATGTACAAGTCCATGCAGCCAGATGCAATGCATCCAAGGGTGCTAAGGGAGTTAAGTGATGTGATTGCAGAGCTGCTGGCCATTATCTTTGAAAACTCGTGATGATTGGGGGAGGTCCCAGATGACTGGAAAGGACAAATATAGTGCCCATCTTTAAGAAAAGGGAAGGAGGATCCAGGGAACTATAGACCCCATTTCTAAGCATTTGGATGAAAAGAAGCTGATTAGGGACAGTCAGCATGGATTCATCAAGGGTAAGTCATGCTTGACCAACCTGATTGTCTTTTATGATGAGATAACTGGCTCTGTGGACGTGGGGAAAGCAGTGGCCATGATCTACATTGACTTTAGCAAGGCTTTTGATACCGTCTTCCACAGCATTCTTGCAAGCAAGCTGAGGAACTATGGGTTGGATGAATGCATTGTAAGGTGGATAGAAAGCTGGCTGGATTGCTGGGCTCAAAGGGTAGCAATCAATGGCTCAATGTCTAGCTAGCAGCCGATATCAAGTGGAGTGCCCCAGGAGTCAGTCCTGGGGCAGGTTTTGTTCAATATCTTCATTAAACATCTGGAAGATGGGATGGATTGCATCCTCAGCAAGTTCACGTATGACATCAAGCTGGGGCAGTGTAGTAGATACACTGGAGGATAGAGCTAGGATTCAGAGTGACCTAGACAAATTGGAGGATTGGGCCAAAAAAAAAAATCTCACAAGGTTCAACAAGGACAAGTGGAAAGTCCTACACTTAGAATGGGACAACCCCATGCACCAATACAGGTTTGAGACTGACTTGCTGGGCAGCAGCTCTGAAGAAAAGGATCTGGGGTTTACAGTGGACAATAAGCTGAATATGAGCCAGGAGTGTGCCCCTGTTGCCAAGAAGGCTAATGGCATACTGGGCTGCATTAGTAGGATCATAGCTAGCAGATCAAGGGAAGTAATTATTCCACTCTATTCTGCACTGGTGAGGCCATATTTGGAGTATTGTGCTCAGTTTTCGGTTCTCCGCTGATAGAAAGGATGTGGACAAATTGGAGACAGTCCAGCAGAGAGCAACCAAAATGGTTCAGGGGCTGGGGCACATTACTTATAAGGAGAGGCTAAGAGAACTGGGTTTATTAGTCTACAGAAGAGAGGACCGAGAGGGGATTTGATAGCAGCCTTTAACTACCTGAAGAGTGGTTCAAAAGAGGATGGAGCTAGAATTCTCAGCGGTGACAGATGACAGAACAAGGAGCAATGGTTTCAAGTTGCAGGAAGGGAGGTTTAGGTTGGATATTAGGAAAAACATTCTCACTAGCAGGGTGGTGAAGCACTGGAATGGGTTAGCTAGAGAGGTGGTGGAATGTCTGTCCTTGGAGGTTTTTAAGGCTTGGCTTGACAAAGCCCTGGCTGGAATGATCTAGTTGGGGATGGTCCTGCTTTGAGCAGGGGGTTGGGACTATATGACCTCCTGAGTCCCTTCCAATCCTAATTTTCTATGTTTCTATTCCAATATTCATCTTTAATTTAAACAGTTCTCGTTCCTTTCTGAGATTAACCCCATTAATGTTTTTATACCAAAATAATCAGATCTCTTCCTTAACTTCATTTGTTAAGCTAAACAAATCAAGCTCTTTTAAACTTACTGCCATACTCTTAACAACAAAGTTGCCCTTCTTTTACCGTTACCATTTTAAATTAATTGTTTTTTAGCACTGGTGACAAGAGTTGTACACAATATTCTGCATGGCGTCTTACTAGTGCTTTGTGCACTGGTTCAAGCACTTCCCTTTTTGTACTGAGCATACCTTGCCTAATGCAACATAGCATTCTAGCTTTGTATATTGAAATGTTTAATTTCAGATTTTATCCTGGTACATAGCACAGTCTAATTTGCGTTCTGGCAGATCATGTTGGTTCCAATGAATCAGCAATTTTTGGCAGGAAAACATACTACTGGAAAAAAAAATTGACCAATGCTATACCATATGGATAGTTTCAAAATGAGCGGTGAACAAAACCAGAATGTCCACTGTGTTGAAAGGAATGTTTCCAAATTGTTTTTTTTTGCCTCAGATTGGGACAGAGTTGAAATATTTTTTCTTTGCTGGGAGGGGTTAAGGGAAGAGGACCATCATTCTAATGCCATACCTATGATCTATCACACTGCCACATTTGGGAACAGAGTTGTAGTCCAACTAAAGATGGACACAGGACAGACTGCACATACCACTCCAATGAGGCAATATGGCAATATGATATGACTTCAAACAAGACACTATGGGTCAGTTCAGCAACCCAAAACTATTTCGATCTAGATCAAATATCAAATATATATCCTAAATTAAATGTTGTGTCAAGAATTATTTTGGCAGGGAACTTCTGACTTTTACGCAAAATCACTGTGCGCCAAAATAGAAAGTTGGACACACTGCTTGGAAACAGCAGGCACGGTGGAAGAAAATAAGAGGTGGTTAAGATTTCTTTTGTCTCACAATTCCTTGTCTTATGTTTGAATGGCTTATTATTGTATTAACGTCCAACAACGATTAAAAGCATGAGGCTCCATTATCCTTGGCAATAATTTAGTTCCCTTGTTTGGAAAAATGTGCTTGGCCTATGATCACTCGTTTTCTTTATTGAGAAGCAATGTCATCATCTTATAAAACACATCAGCTGTCCTATTAAGCATCCATTATACCAGTTTCCTTACTGGGCCAGCTCTGCAAGTTATGCACAATGGAACCACTGGTTGAAATGTAATGTAAATTTGATGATTTGGTCTTCAATGTAATGCATTTACAAGGCAACAGTCAAACCCAGCAATGATCACCACAACTTGTTAGAAGGGGCTGATGCTATCAAAAATTGATTACATTGATTTTTCTGACATAATAGTAGTCCTCATGTCTAAACTTGTATATAAAGTTGAAAGGAATGGGCCTCTAATAAAGGCTTAACAGTGTTTGGAGAGGAACCCTAGAAACAGGTAAGCTCACAAAGAAGTGACTAGCTGGAAATAGTGTTTTGGTGTAGTTGAAAATATAACCCTGAAAAACATTAGTTTTGA